CTGCATGGGGGTACCTGCCAGGGCACCCGCTGCCTCTGTCCCCCTGGCTTCTCTGGCCCTCGCTGCCAACAAGGTAACTGCCCCAGCTTCTCTCCACCTCCCCCTTGGGGCGCTGGGGCCTGACACAGCCCACCGACTGGACCCTGCGTCTCCCCACAGGCTCTGCACATGGCATAGCGGAGTCCGACTGGCATCTTGAAGGCAGTGGGGGCAACGGTACGTACTTGCCGTGACCAGCCAGAGGAGCTGAGCAGGCTTGTCCCTCCCAGGCTTTGGGTCTCTCAGCCCCTCTTCCAATGGCCCCACCCCTCCATCTTGGTCTCTGAATAAAACAAGCCCAGGTGAGAGGCTCCCTGGGCACAGAGAGACAGAATAAGAAGAGCACAGCCGCACAGAGCTGGGTCCTGCCCTATGCTCACTGCCTAGTGACTTTGGGCAGGCCTTTGAACCACTTTCACTTCTGTACCCTCCTCTGTATTCGTGCATTCCAGCAACAGACATGCATGTGTGCCCATCCTTGCCCTGGGAGCAGTAAATATAAGATGCGTAAGGCAGGACCCTTATTCTCAAGGATTCCACAATCTGTTTAAAAGCAATGATAATGATTTGTAAAAATGAATACTTATCGAACATTTACAGGCCCTGTGCTAACTGCATTATAGATACATATCTTATTTATCGCTAATATAATAGGAGAGGTAGTGGCATAGTGGATAAGAGCCTGGGTTCAAATCCTAGCTCTACCACTTACTAGCTGTGTGACTTGGGTGACTCACTTAACCTCTCTGTGCCTCAGTTTCCTCACGTATAAAATAGAAAGAAGTAACATCCTTCCACAAGGTTTTGGATAAAATTTTGTGTGAGAGTAAAATCCTTTAATGTATTTTAAATGCTTAGAGCAATGTCTGGTCCAGAGTGGGCACAGAATGTTAGCTTTTGTTAATATTATAGCAAAGACATAGGGTGGTTACAAGGATCCAGTTAAAAGTTATGTTTGAAAAAAAAAAAAAAAAAAAGTTATGTTTGTAGCTGGATGTGAAACTTCCTGCATGGTGACCGGCAAATAGTAGGTGCTTGGTAACTGTTAGCTGCGAACGTCATCAGTTGGTGGAGGGTGGCGAAGTGTCGCCTACCCTGGTAGCTGCCAGGCCCCAGGGGCCAGCACTGGCGTGGGATGGCTTTGAGCAGGTAGGGTTGGGGATGTTATAGCCACACACACAGTGTGGACGATGCAGCCGAAAGGTCTGGGTTGCCATCCAGGCTTCCCACTTCCTAGGCAAGTCACTCATCCCTGAACCTGTCTTCCCGTCTGTAAGATGGAGGGATTACAAAGGTTCAGAACCGTTTATGTGCCACTGACCTAGATGACCAGCTGCCCCAGTTTGCTCAGGACTGAGGAGCTTCTGGGGATGTGGGACTTTCAGAGCTAAAACCAGGACAGGACCCGGCAAATAGAGATGGTTGATCACCCTACCTGGACCCTACTGACTGCATAGAATGAAATACATAGGATTTCAAAGGGAATCAATTGTTCTGAAAGAAGGTTATCAAAATATTTGAAGTTTTTTGCATCTTTATTAACGCATTAAATACAAGATCTAGCGTTACGGTTAGGGTTAGGGTTAGGGTCGTCAGTCCCAACAGCGACCACAATTGCAATAAGCGTAAACAATGTTTTGAAATATTTGCAGCAACTGTAATGCAATAAGGAAATCTTCCACTGGTGACTGAGTCACAGGCCCTGCTCCTCCTCAGTGTGTTGCCTACCTGTGTAACTAAAGGAACTGCTAACCTTCAGGGAGAAGAGAGCAAGGCTAGAACTGTAATGTTTTCCAAGCCAAGTTCACAGGCCTCTGAATTCTGCCCCCAGCCCCCTTGGGTCTCCAGGGACTGCAGGTTCAGAGCCCTGCAGTAGTACAGGTCGGGGTGGAGGTGGGGGTCAAGGGCACCGATGCGGGATGGATACTCCATGCGGGTGAGCAGGTGTCCCACCATCGCCCCCACTCCCCCGACAGATGCCCCCGGGCAGTACGGAGCCTACTTCTACGATGACGGCTTCCTCGCCCTCCCTGGCCGCATCTTCTCCAGGAGGTGAGAAGAGAGTCTGTGGGCCCAGGGTGGGGGACGGGAATCTGGGGCTTCTGCCCTCTCACCCACTTACCCCGCACCACAGTCACCCTGAGGTGCCCGAGACCATCGAGCTGGAGGTTCAGACCAGCACGGCCAGCGGCCTCCTGCTCTGGCAGGGCGTGGTAAGTGTGGACGTCCCGCCCAGGATCTCAGGGTTCCCAGCCCCCTGGTGGCCACAGGAGTGGGAGAGAGGAAGGAGGAGGCCACAGCTGTCGGTAGCCCCCAGGAACCCTGTGCTTCTCTGGCAGGAGGTGGGAGAGTCCGGCCGAGGCAAGGACTTCATCAGTCTTGGGCTTCAGGATGGGCACCTTGTCTTCAGGTGGGTCCTGGCACCCGACCCTTCCTCTCCCTTCCCTCAGCCCCCTTACCCTTCAGTGGCTTCCCCTCCGGTCAGCCCCATGGCCCCCCCCAGCAAGAAGCTGCAGTGCCCAGTGCCCCAGCTGCACACCACCACCACCGTCCCACACCCCCTCCAGTCCTGCCCCCTGCTCACACCCTCTTGGGTCTGTGTGACTGCAGCTACCAGCTGGGCAGTGGGGAGGCCCGCCTTGTCTCTGAGGACCCCATCAACGATGGCGAGTGGCATCGGGTGATGGCACTGCGGTAAGGGAGCCCCCCGGGCACTAGGGCGAAGGGCCCAGAGTCCTGCACTGGGACAGGACGCCCCCCATCATGCGCAGGGAGGCAGGCATTGAGCTCTGGGGAGACAGAACTTGAAGCCAGGGTCAGGGGAGAGCCCACCAGCCGGAGCACAGACTTCCAGGGCAGGACAGAACTCCATGGGGTGGGCGCACAAGCACCCTAGGGGATGGATGAAGCCTGTGGGACCAGATCTCTCATCCAGCGGAGGGAGGGGGCAAGAAAGAACTCAGGGAGCGGGGTCATGCTGCTCTGACTGGTCTCTGTAGCAAAGGGAGGGGCTCTCACTGGGTTGAGAAGGACGGGGGATCGGTGGTGAGGGGCCTGACCCCGTTCCACTGCAGAGAGGGCCGGAGAGGCTCCATCCAGGTGGACGGAGAGGAGCTGGTCAGCGGCCAGTCCCCAGGCCCTAACGTGGCAGTCAACACCAAGGGCAGCATCTACGTCGGTAAGTCTTGAGCTCGGGCCTCGTGCAGGCCTGGGGCCGCTCCTCCAGGTCGGGGAGGGCCAGGGGCTCCGGCAGAGGTAGAGCACGGGGCCTTCCTCCCCCAACCTCCTGGAGCTGACAGGCCCCGCCCTCTCCCTTCCCCGCAGGTGGAGCCCCCGACACGGCGGTGCTGACCGGGGGCAGGTTCTCCTCGGGCATCACGGGCTGTATCAAGAACCTGGTGCTGCACTCTGCCCGGCCTGGCACCCCGCCTCCACAGCCACTGGACCTGCAGCACCGCGCCCAGGCGGGGGCCAACACGCGCCCCTGCCCCTCGTAGGCACTGCCTGCCCCACACGGACTCCCGGGCAGCGCCCCAGCCCCGCAGCGTCGACTATATTATTATTAATATTATTATTATGAATATTTTGTAAGAAACGGAGGCGATGCCACGCTTTGCTGCTACTGCCCTGGGCTGGACTGGAGGGTGGGCACGCCACCCCACACAGACACACCTGGGCAAAGCCACAGGCTGCTGGGCAGGGCGGGTTGCATGGGAGCAGATGCCTCAAAGGGTCACCAGGACTTGGGGTCGGCCACGGTGGCTGAGCAGGCTCAGAACTGCCCCCACCAACAGAGCCCCCCGAGGTAGTGCTGGGCTGCCCGTTTCTTCAGCCCTTGGGCAGCCCTCATTTCTACAGGAGCCAAACTCGGCTTCCAGCCTGGAGCCTCACCAGCTACCCGGAGCCTCACCAGCTACCTGGAGCAGAGGGCATCGCAGTGGCCTTCGCCACCCGCCTCCGGGTTGGGAAAGCTCTTTATTGCTAACTGTGGTGCAAAAGGCAGCTCACCCCTGGGCAGGCAGCCCCCAGCCCTGCCAGCCCATGTCCCAGCGCCCCTCCACCTCCACCTAGCCAGCCAGGCCACCGGCCCCTGGCAGCCTCCCCCCTCCCACCAAGCCCTCCTGGCCTGCATCCCTCCCACCCCACACCTAGCCCAGGGCCCCCGCCCTGAGGGGCTGCAAGGGAAAGCCCACCTCAACTCTTACCAGGAGCTGCTACAGGCAGAGCCCAGCACTGAGAGTGTCTCCCTGCCTGCACCAGGCCACGTCCCCCCACTGATCTGGAAGTGAAGGCCCAGGGCACATGGGGGGAGGAGAGCATTGGTGGTCGGAAAGAGTTAATGCCTTGGGTAGGGGAGCCGGGACTCATGACTGGGAGGGACAGGAAGGGGGCGTGACAGCCCTGCCCCATCTGTGGGAGCCCCAGGGCCCAACTGGGGGCAAGCGCCTTCCCCACCAGCAACCCCCAGAGGTGGGTCCGGGACGCCTGGCCTCTGTGTCCTAGAAGGGACCCTCCTGTGGTCTTTATCTTGATCTTTCTTAATAAACGGTGCTATCCCCGCCAGGGCTGTCTCCTGTGTCTTTGACTACGACTGGACCCGTGGTACCTGAGGGTGGGCCAGGATGGGGCAAAGCAGGGCAAGTGAGGTCCGGGCGTGAAGCAAGGCAGCTTCAGGGGAGCGAGGCCCCTACTCCCTGCCCTTCACTGATCCAGCCGAGTGCCAGTCACCATGCAGGTTGCAGGGTCAGCTGCCTCCTGTGGCCTTCACCATGACCCTGTGAGGCAGGAATCATCCCATTTTCCAGAGGGGCAGACTGAGTCTCGGAGGGTTATATGATCTGCCCAAGGTTAGACAGCCCTGTGGGGGGTGGGGGCAGAACTCGGGGACTGTCTGACCCCAGAGCCCACTCTCCTTCCTCTGATGCCCACAGCCTCTCTAAGGATGACCCCCCTGACCTGGCTTACTCAGCCGCAGGCCCCCAGGGGCCACCTGGCCAGGACGTGTGTAACATGGTGCACACCACCAGCCCCCCAAGCCAGCCGGCTGGAGGAGCAGCAGCTCCAGAGGAGGCCCACGAGGAGGCCAGCCACCCCCATGGCTGGAGGCCTGTAGAAAGAAAGAGCACTCAGGCCTCAGCCTGGGCCAGCTGCCCCCACCCATCACTGGAGAGGGACAAGTGTGGTCTCGGCGGAAGGAGCAGCAGCAGGTGACAACCAAGAGCCATCTACCTTCCGGAGCGGCATCCTGTCGTGCAGGGTCCCGGCGTGCTGGGGGGCTCCTCTCAGCTGCAATCCCCAGGGGGCCCACAGACCCGAGAGCTGGGGGAAGAGTCAGGGGCCCGGAGGTACCATCATCCGTACTCCCTTCCTGGCTGGGCACTGGAGAGGGACCGGCAGTGGCAAATAACAGCTCTAACACACTGAGATCTGCCCCTTGCAGGCTATGATTACGTCTCGTTTAATCCTCCCCAAACCTCTTAGTGTTAGTATTTTTATTTCACAGATAAGAGAAGTGAGGCACAGAGAGGTTAAGTCACTTGCCCAGATCACACAGCTGGAAGTGACAGGGGTGGACTTGAATTCACAGTCTAGCTCCAGGGGCTGGGGGTGGATGAATGGAGCTACTTCTCAAGGAGTAATGCTGTATTGAGCATTTTCTCTGCACCAAGAACCATGCTCTGTGCTGGGCCCTTCACCCACAGGGTTTCACTTAAAGTTCATGACAAATCTGAGAGGTTAGGTTTATCATCCCCAGTTTACGGATAAGGAAACGGAGACATAGAGAGGTTCATTCTTCCACTCATTTGATGAGTATTTTTCAATCACCTGCTACTGTACCCCAGGCATTGCTCTAGGGACTGGGGGATATGACAGCAAAACAGACAAAAAGGCCCCCATGGAGCTGGCGTTTTAGTGCGAGGCAACACAAAACACAAATTCCACCATGTGTCAAATGGAGACAGGAGCTACGAGGGGAAATCAAGCAGGAAGGAGGGACAGGGCGCGTGGCGAGGGGCAAGGTTGCTACTTTTCTTTTAATTGCGGTAAACTCTACAAAACAAAATGTACCATTTTAACCGTTTTTAAGTACAGTTCCTTAGTATTAAGTCCATCCATATTGTTGAGCAACCATCAACACCATCCATTCTCAGGACTGTTTTCCTCTCATAAAACTGAAACTCTGTACCCATTGTGAATAACTCCCCATTTCCCCTCCACAGCCCCTGGCAACCATCATTCTGCTTTCTGTCTCTTTGAGTTCTCTGGATGTCTCATCTAGGTAGAATCACATAGTATTTATCCTTTTATGACTGGTTTACTGCAGTCAGCGTAATGTCCTCAAGGTTCATCCATGTTGTAGCATGTGTCGGCATTTCCTTCCTTTGTAGGGCTGAACGATATTTCATTGTGTGGACATACCACGTCTTGTTTACCTGTTTTGCTTTCAATGGACACAGGGCTGCTTTTCGTGTTTTTTTTTTTTTTTTTTTTTGGCCGCACAGCTTGTGGGATCTTAGTTCCCCGACCAGGGAACCCGTGGCCCCTGCAGTGGAAGCGCAGAGTCCTAACCACTGGACCGCCCAGGGAAATCCCAGGGTTGCTATTTTTAAACAAAGGGGTAAGGAAAGAGCTCATGGAGAGGGTGAGGGTTAAGCCAAGACCTGCAGAAGGCAAAGGAATGAGCATGTGAACCTCTGGGAAAAGCCTTCCAGGTAGAGGAAAGAGCTAGTGAGAGACCAGAGGCAGGACAAGACTGGAGCGTGGAAGGAGCTGCCAGGGGCCGGAGTGGAGGAGCTGTTGGAGCAAGCGAGCAGGTGGGAGGTGACGGGCCAGGTCACTCAGGGCCTGGGGGCCCCTGGGAGGCTTGTGTGGGCTGAGTGAGGAGTGAGGAGGGTCCTGCGCACGGGAGTGACGCGATCTAACTTAGTGTTTTAAAAGGCTCCTCTGGGGAATTCCCTGGCAGTCCAGCGGTTAGGACTCCACGTTTCCACTGCTAGGGGCCCAGGTTCAATCCCTGGTCCGGGAACTAAGATCCCGCAAGCCGAGGGGTGCGGCCAAAAGAAAAGAATAAAATGCTCCCCTGGCAGGAGAGCTTAACTCCCTGCTAGTCTGTGGGCTGCGCGTGATGACTTCCTCCCAAAGAGGACAGTGTGGGGAGAGGAGACAGAGTAACAGCGGAGAAGCCGACAAACACAGCCTCAACCCGGTGACCAAGGCCAACATCAACATCCGTGGACCGTGTTGGGCAGTGATCGCGTTGATCTGGCCTGGTGTGCACTTGACCTCTGGGATCTTCCTCCTCATAACCCACGACTGCAGTCTTATCATGAGGAAAACATCAGATTAATTCCGACAACACTGATGGCTTCGTTATGGGCTGAGAGGGAAAAGGGAGTAAAGGGCCACTCAACCGTTTGGGCCTGAACAACCGGAATTCAAAGCTGCCACTGAGTGAGAAGGGGACACGGGTGAGAAGCAGGACGCAGGGCCGGCTGTGGATCATGAGTTCAGTTTGGGGCAAGTTAAGTGTGAGACCCGCCTGCACAGCCACGTGGAGATGTCAGGTGGGGAGGTGGTTATATAACTAGTGTTCGAAGACGAGTCCAGCTGGCGATACGGTATAAAGGAGAACGAGGGGGGAACGGGTGTGGCAGCTGGAGGAGAGGACATAGGGCCCGGGCCTCTGGGCACAGAGCATAGTGTCAGGGAGGACCCTGAGGAGTGCCTGGGGAGGGAAGTGTATGGGCTCCCGGGAAGCTGGGTTTTACCCCTCAGCCAGGTGCATTTTTGCAACGAACGACCCGTTCAACAGGACATGGCAACCCTGACTGGGAGTGGGGCATGTCCAGATTCCTAAGAAGGATAATCAGGGGTGACCTAGTCTGGTCCCCTCTGTCCATCCACAGAGGTCATTCCTGGTTATGTCACTCAGTGACTCTATGACCTTGGGCAAGTCATTTCTCCTCCCTAGGCCTCAGTTTCCCCATCTATAAAATGTGGGAGTCAGGCTGGATCAATGGTTTTCAAAGTCTTGAAGGTCAAACTCAAGTCTCTCAGTGGGACATCAGTCAGCCGCGGCCCAGGCCTCCCACGTCCAGTTAAGTAGAGCATCTCTCCTTGTGATGTCTAGGGCCTCTGCAAGGCTCTGTGTAGGAAAAGCTTCCACCACTGAAACGACATTTGGAAGCAGCTGGATTCGATCACCATTTGAGCTCTAACATCCTCTGGTCCTCAGGCAGTCTGGTCTGAATGGATTCCCCACTACTGTGCTTCACCTCATCCTCTCCTGCCGCACCCGTGCCTCCGGCCTCCAGCTTCTAACCCAGCTGCTCAGCAGGACCCAAGCCACACCTGTCACTGACTTCTGCAGTTAGCCGCTGCCCAAGAAGCCTGGTCACTGCCGTCGCCACAGTTGTCCGTGCCCAGGGATCGCACACCAGCCTCGGGGGGATGCACCTGCGGTTCTGACATTGGAAGTAGGCACAACAGCATCCTGGGGTTGAGAGGGGAGGCACGACGAGGACGCTGAGCACCGCAGGATGTTTGGCCCTATGGGGAGGGTATGCGGGAGGTGTGAGCAGGAGAGGCTGTCTCCATGTGCGTGCAGATGAGGGTACGGATGAGACAGGTGTATGATCGTAAAGATGATGATGGGGATGGGGATGATGACGGCAGCTAACATTTATTGAGCTCCTATTGCAAGCCAGGCGTGGTTCACATCCCAGCTCATTAAGTTCTTACATTAACCCCGTAGGGTCAATACTATTATCAATCCCATTTTAGAGATGAGAAGACCGAGGCACAGGGAGGTTAGGTCACTAGACCAAGGCCACACAGCTTGTATCTAAGCAGCAGGATAGGAATTCAGCCCCATGCTCATGAGCACTGTGGCACCCAGTGTCTGTATGTGTGTGCACGCGTGCGTGCACACAGCCTATGGTAGCCCAGCAACCTGAACATTCCAAACTCATTCCGGCTCGTGGCACTGCACCTGCCATCAGCCCTGCCCGTAACTGCATGGCTTGCTCCCCTCAGGTCTCCACTCAAATGTCATCGTGTTGGAAGGCCTGCCCTCACCTCCACGTGAGAACGGCACACCATCCCTCCCCCACCGCCCCTTTATCCGGATTTGGGTTCCTCTGCAGCACTTACCACCTCTGCAGATTATGGATTTGATCGGTTCTTTGTTTATGGTCTGCCTCCCCCACTAGAAAGTCAGCTCAAATGGGGCAGGGACTTCTCTTTCATTCACTGCTGCATGTATCCCTGGAGCCTAGAACAGCACCTGGCACAAGGGCAGGTACTCAATCTTTGTTAAATGAATGAATAGGCACACAGGCGAGAGAAGGGTATGACTTGGTGCACAGGGTGTGGCAGACAGGTTTGGCTTACCCAGCACCCCATTCTGTGGAGAAAAGCTGGTTCAGGAGGGACTGACCAATACCATGGCTCAGAGGTGGACATGGGGATCAGAGCATTCCATTCCTGGCCCCGGGAACGGACACATGGCCCATGTGACTAATCAAATTTGGCCCCGAGGACTTTTGCTAGAACCATAAGAAAAGATCTTCGCGGTTCCCTGGCAGTCCGTTGGTTAGGACTCAGCTCTTTCACTGCTGGGGGCCCAGGTTCAATCCCTGGTCAGGAACTGAGATCCTGCAAGGCACTCGGCGCAGCCAAAAAAAAAAAAAAAGTGAGAGAGAGAGAAAAGATCCTCGCTCTTTATTTCACTGAGGTGAGAGTTACAAGGGGGACTGTGGGCTTGGAGCTGCAGGGTCACCTTGCTGCCAAGTAGAAAGAGGAACTGGAGCTGCCTGAGATGGAAGCCAAACAGACCCAGTGCAATGCAAAGGGAGAGAACAAAGAGATAGAGCCCAGGTGGCATTCCTTGATCTCCTGAGTCCAGCTATACCTGAACGAACGCCTTAATATCCCAGTTATAGGAGCCCCCCAAATTCTCCTTTGGCTTAAAGCCAACTTGACTTGGGGTTTTTTCATGTGCAAATGGGAGTGAATGCTCTGATTTATAAAAGACGTGCAGGGGTAAGAGTGAATATCTATGAGAGAGAAAACACAAACAGTAATCCAAGTAAAAAGTGGTGAAAAGTGATCCGAGGAAGCCAGAGTTGTGACAGGGCTTCGCCACTGCCGCCTGCTTTCGAGTCCAACCCTGCTAACCACAAAGCAGCCGCAACATGCTTGGCCGGTACCTCACGGAAGGTGAGAAAGGGAGGGAGGGAGGAAAGGAGGGAGGGAGGGGTTGATTTCCAATTAGCCTGAGAGATCTGCTTGCAAAACAATATAATAGGACCCTTGGCACGCTACAGCCCACAGGAGCCAGAAAGGGGAACCCAGGCACCATCAGTCATGGCCCCAAAGGCACACAAGAGACAGCAGGGGGTGCTCTCTGACCAGCTCAGGTTGAAGGGCTGTCCGGGGCCTGGCGTGTCGAGGTCCAGCTCCTGGTGAACCTGTGCTGGCTCTCAGAGGCCCCCCTGTTCTTGCCTTGAAGTGCTCACAACCCCATGTTTGTTTTGTTTTGTTTTGTTTCTTTGCGGTACGCGGGCCTCCCACCGCCGTGGCCCCTCCCGCTGCGGAGCACAGGCTCCGGACGCGCAGGCTCAGCAGCCATGGCTCAGGGGCCCAGCCGCTCCGCGGCACGTGGGATCTTCCCGGACCGGGGCACGAACCCGCGTCCCCTGCATCGGCACGCGGACTCTCAACCACTGCGCCACCAGGGAAGCCCCAACCCCATGTTTAATTCTCCAGTCTGGATATTTTGCCAGCGAGGGCGATGATGCTTCTCCGAGGTTTTGGAAACTTCTGGGCTTTGGCAGCTCCTCTGCTGAAACATCAGTGAGTGTCTTCAGTCCTGGGGAAACCTGCTGGGACTAAAGCCTTGACTCAATTGGAGCAGAGGACAAACTCTAGCAGTTAAAGCCCAGCTCCTCCACCTCTGAGCTGGGAGTCCTGTGGCGCTTCACTCAACCTCTCCAAGCCTGTTTCCCATCAATAAATACGAGGGTATGAGCACTGGCCCAGCAGAGCTGCTGTGAGAACAGATGGGATCTGGCATAAGAAGGGCCACAGGCAGTGCTCAACGAGGGATTATTATTATCAGTTCCCTTTCCTTGCCTAAGTGGGTTTCTGTCACTTACAGCCACCAGAGTCCCAACTCTCGACCCCTCTGCAGTTGGGTGGACCCAGGACAGAGAAGCCAGTGTGCGAACGTGAGAGTGTGTGAGTTGCATGGCAGTGTGCAAAGTGGTACTGTGTACAATGAGGTGTGCATGATGTGAACTGTGTGTGGGAGAGAGTGTACAGTATGCCAGGCCTGTGGGTTGGGTGTTTCAGTGTGTGTGGTGCAGGTGGGTGTGCCAGGTGTGTACGAGGTGTGAGTTGTGCACAGGTACAGTGTGTGTGAGTGGGGTGGGTGCTGGAGTGTGAGGTGTGTGAGTGTGTGGGAATCGTGTGGGAGTGGGAGTTGTGTGTGAACAGGTGAGGGGCTGGTCCGCGCATCCATGGAAGTCAGGTTTATGGGGTTGGCTCTTTGGGTCTGGACCGCCCCTTCCTGAAGCCCCTGACCCTGCCGCCAGGCCCCAGCCCCCGCCCTCTCTCAGGACCAGCCCGCACCCACCCAATCGGAAAGAGGAGACTTCGCCTACGAAGTCCACGCGGGGCTGGCGGCCTCCGGTGACCAGGCGCAGGCCCAGGAAGTCCCCGGAGGACGCCACCGGCCCAGTGATGGTCAGGCCGTAGAACCGGGCCCCCAAGGGGCATGGCGCCCCCGGTGGGCCCTCGTAGAACTGCAGGTAGGACCCGGGTGCGCAGGGGTCCTCCGGCGCCGGCGCCGGGGAGGAGGTGTTGGGCGCCGCCGGGGTCAGGCTGTAGACCAGGAAGAAGCGGAACTGGAAGCGGATCCTGTCGCCGGGGGTCGCCTCCCGCATCCAGAGCCTGCTGTCGGTGTCCGGGGCCATGAAGTAGAAGCGGCGCGACGCGGAGTGCGAGCGTAGCAGCAGCCCGTCCGCCTGCCACGTCCGGCCGCACAGGTCCACCAGGTAGGCTGCGGGGAAAAGCACCGACCCTGGAACCACGCGGTCCCGTTCCAAGCCTGGCCCTGCCTTCTGCCCGTTGTGTGACCCCCGAGTGAGTCACTCAGCCTCTCTGAGCCTCAGTCTTCTTGTCGGGAAAATGGGGATGATTGAGCAACGTCAGAATTTTTGTGAGGATTAAAAAATGTAATTCAAGTCCTCAATCTCGTATTCAAAAACCCTAGGATGTGTTTCAGAATTTTTCAGATTTTAGAAAGATATACAATACGTTGCAGCCCCAAATGGAGTCTGCCACAGCCCTCCACGATCAAACACATTTTCTAGAGCAATTGCACAGAACATTTACCCTAAGTAGGACAAATACAGACTGTAAACAGCCTCCTGTCAGTTCAGGTCAGGTGTTGCCAGTTAGTTAGCTAAGAACAAATTTTGGTTGTCAGAGCTTTTCATATTTTGTAGTGGAAACTAAAGGATTGTGGACGTGTATGGGTTCAGTGCTTAGGGTGGTGCCTGGCATTTAATGAGCATTACGGAAGTGTTATTCAAGGATGGGGGAGGGAATTTCCTGGCCTTCCCTCCGGTGGTTAGGACTCCGCACTCTCGCTGTGGAGGGCCCAGGTTCAATTCCTGTTCGGGAAACTAAGATCCCACAACCCTCGCAGTGCAGCCAAAAAATAAAAGGATGGGGGAGACACGGTTGGGCACCTGCCCAGCCAACAGGCATTCCGTTTCTCCTTGCTAAGAGAAACTTAATTCTCCTCAATTATCAGAGAGCCCCCCTGGTCTTTGGCCTAAACCAAGCCTTGTAATCCTAATTCCATTTGCCAGGTTTGGGGATTGGCCTGTGAACTGATTCTGGCCAATGAGATTTAAGGAGAGGTTTGCTGAGCATTCCTGGGAAAGGTTTTCTTCCCTGATTTTTTTAAAAAAAAAAAAAGGAGGGAGAGCTGTGTGATGAGGAGCCCCTTTTTCTTCCTGCTTTTGAAAGCTATTGACTGAGGATGTGATGCCCAGAGCTGCAGCAGATATCTTGCAAGGATGAGGTCATGAGAATTATGGAGGAGCCCTGACATGGTTGAGCTGCTGAATTAACCATTTCTGGACTCATCTATGGCCTCTCTTCTTAAGTGAAATAATAAATGTCCTTATGGTTTGTTTTTTTTGTTGTTGTTTTTTTTTTTGCAGTACGCGGGCCTCTCACTGCTGTGGCCTCTCCCGCCGCGGAGCACAGGCTCCGGACGCGCAGGCTCAGCGGCCATGGCTGACGGGCCCAGCTGCTCCGCGGCATGTGGGATCTTCCCGGACCGGGGCACGAACCCGTGTCCCCTGCATCGGCAGGCGGACTCTCAACCACTGCGCCACCAGGGAAGCCCTGTCCTATGGTTTAAGCTCTGTTTAGTCTGGTAACTGTTACAACCCAAAACATCCTCACTGGTACAGGGTTGTTGTGAGGATTAATGAGATAACGTGTAAGTACTCAAACCATCTGATTTTTGTAAGGATAGAAGGAGAACAGGACGTGGCTTTTCTGGTGCATGGTAGGGGCACCAGTGGTGCTTGAGGACAAGCCGGGATGTGGGTCTTCGGGGGAGAAATTCTCCATTAGGGCTCAGGATGTGGGAGCATCTTCTCATATCTGTGCAGACCTACTAAAGCCAGAACCTGCCCTGGAGGCACACGGGACAGGCGGAGGTTCAGAGAGTGGGTGAACGAGCACCTTCTATGAGCTGGGCACTGTATATGTGTCTTGCATGGTTTATCTCACCTTATATGCACAATAATAATAGTCCCTTAAGGCAGCGGTCCCCAACCTTTTTGGCACCAGGGACTGGTTTTGTGGAAAACAATTTTTCCACAGACGGAGGTCGGGGGGTGGGGATGGTTCAGATGGTAATGCGAGCAACGGGGAGCGACGGGGAACAACGGGGAGTGACGGGGAACGTCGGGGAGCAACCGGGAGTGACGGGGAACTTCGGGGAGCGACGGGGAGCGACGGGGAGCGGCAGATGAAGCTTCGCTCTCTTGCCCACCACTCACCTCCTGCTTTGAGGCCCGGTTCCTAGCAGGCCTCGGACTGGCCCTGGGGGTTGGGGACCTCTGCCTTAAGGGGCAAGGGCCTATTATTCTTTCCATCTTACTGCTGAAGAAACCAAGTCTTAGACAGTGGAAACAGTAATGTCAAGGGTGTGTGTGTGAATGCAGGGCCGTCTGACTCCAAAGCCCACAGTGTTTCCCGGTGCCAGACTGCCCCACCCGCCCCCAGACACCTGCTTCTGGGTGACTTGGAGCTCCAGCCACCCAGAGGGGTGGGGGTGGACTTGAGGGTGCCAGCCAAGACCAGGCACAGGGTTTCCCAGTGTCCCCCAACTCAAGGGATCCCAGCTCATCAGGGTGAGTGCTGATTGAGGAAACACAATCTCAAAGGGTGGTGGGACCTGAATCTCCTGCCTGCCCCAGCCAAGCCACCTTGTACTCACCTGTGTGCAGAGCAGATGCAGTAAGGGCATTTGCCCCCAGCAGGAGCAGCCTTTGGGGCAGCTGCAGAGGACAGGCTTCCATCCAGGCCCTCCTGTGCCCAGCGATGGGGAAGACCTGCAGAATCTTCAGTTTGGGGTCTTTGGGGAGACTGGGGTATAGGGGCCTGGTTAGGCCAGTGGAGGGATTGGCAGGATATAGAGAGCAAGGGAGGCAAGTACGCCAGCTCCTCTGGTCTCTTCAGTGATGTTTGTGCTCCCTGTTCCAGATCCTTCTTCAGATCAGGATTGTGTCTAGGGTTGCCATGGAGATTTGGGACTGGGGCTGGAGCCTGGGGAGAGAAGGCGGGGAGGATGTCTGCTCATCCCCTGCCAGACAGGAACCAGGAAACTCAGATCCGGTTCAGCCACAGGGCTTCTGGGAGGGGGACCCACAGCCTCAGAGAGCTACTGCCTTCCTGGAGAAGTTGGCATTTTAGGGCTGAGCTTAAGGGAGGCCCAGGACATCAAAGGGCCTCTCTGAGGGCCTAGAGAGGCAGCAAGTGGTGAATGAGCACTGGCCCAGGAGTCTGCTCTATTTTACAAAGTATTCCTGCCTCAGGGCCTTTGCCCTCACCGTTCCTCCACCTGGGGTGCTCCTCTCCCATGGAGGTCCATGGCTGGCTTCTCCGGCTCACTCAGATTTTGAGCTCACATGTCACCTGCTCAGACCACATTTCCCTGACCGCTTCTCAGTCTGAATTAGTGTTCTCCCTCCCTGTCACTCAGTCCCATGTCCGTGAATTTAACTCAGCACTCACTGGAATTACTTTGCTTATTTACATCTATCTTGTATGTATTGTCCTTTGACCGCTCCCTACCCACTAAAATTGTGTTCTGTGAGTGTCTTGTTCTCTGAAGTCCTAGGCCATAGAACAGTGCCTGGCACAGAGCAGGCATCCAGGAAATAAGAACGAATGTGTGGGGACTTCCCTGGTGGCGCAGTGGTTAAGAATCCACCTGCCAATGCAGGGGACACGGGTTCAAGCCCTGGTCCGGGAAGATCCCACATGCCGCCAAGCAACTAAGCCCGTGCGCCACAGCTGCTGAGCCTGCGCTCTAGAGCCCACAAGCCACAGCTAGAGCTCACGTGCCACAACTACTGAAGCCCACGCGCCTAGAGCCCGTGCTCCGCAGCAAGAGAAGCCACCGCAGTGAGAAGCATGCGCACCGCAATGAAGACCCAACACAGCCAAAAATAAATAAATAAAATAAATAATTTTTTTAAGAAAAGGAAAAGGACGAATGTGTGACGTTGAGCAAATGGCCTCCCTTTTTTCTGGGTTTTACTTCCCCATGTGTAAAAGGAAGGGCTTGGGCCATTTCAGCCTTTTTCAAAACCTGTAATTAGTAGAACCATTTTTTTACAAAGGCATTATACATGGAACCTTAATATATAAAGCTGAAACTTTTCAAGTCTCAGTTTCCTTATCTGTAAAATGGAATAATGATAGTTCCAACTCTGTAGGTATATTGTAAAGGGTAAGTAAGTTGATGCCAGTGGGGTATCAGGTTTCTTACTTAGAACAGTGTCTGTCACATAGTAAAGGGCACAGTGCACGTCAGGCTGATGGTGACCCTTAATGTCATCATTATCACTTAACAGAGGTCATCTATGTTTCAAGAATTCCCCACCTCAGACTTTGAGACACCACCTCAGAGTCTGAAGAGTGTATGAGAAGATTAAAACCACTGGCCCTGCTGCTCTCTAATGCTCTTCTTTCTGGACCTGACATTTGATGCAAACTTGATACCCCACTGTGTGTGATGTCCAAGGCTAGGCCTTGGGGGACTCCTTTGGCAGGAGTGGATTTATCATGAAACTCTTGAAGCTGGCCGCTCTCCCTTCTGAGACAGACAACATTCTGCCTATGGAATGTGTATCTCTCTAAATAAACTTGATTTCACTGTAAAAGAGAAAGAAAGAAACTCGTGAAGCTTACACATCAGGACATATTATTTGCATGAGATTATATATTTTTATAAAATTTACAAAATTAAGGTATTTCAATCACTGTCTCTTTCCACCCGATCTCCTCCACTGCACCTCTCTTCAGATGGTCACGGGCATTTTTGAAATCTGGCTAAGGGGAGGTGGCTTTGGGTTTGGGTTTGGGTTTGGGGGGGATATAATTATGGGGTCCTAGCTCCTTCCAGGTATAGTTTTATTATTTCTAACAAATGCCCCAGAATGCCTTCCAGTAGTCCTCCTCATGCCCTCTATGCTGTGATATGTTGTGATATGAAGGTGCAGAATCAGAGATCATTTATTATGACTGGCCTCACTGGTGTGAGGGTATTGGAGGAGAAATAAGGTTTGAAACATATGAAGCCAGAAGCCAGTCTATGGAAAATCCTTTCAAAGCTTAAAGCTCACATATGTAAGAAATTTGATAGATGTTATCCCAAGTTTAACAGTCCTTAAGAGGATAAATAATCTTACTAATAACAAATGGCAAAGCTCAAGAAAAAAAGTCTAAATGATCACTAATAAAAAACTAATTTTGGTCAATCATGCAAAAGGAAAGACTGACTTATCTTTCTAGTCCTGTTATAGAAAATATCATATAGTGTTGTCTCAGAAATCATAAAAGGGTGTGCAGCCAAAAAAAGTAAGGAAAAAAGTATCATAGAAGAGGTTTAAGCAGTATTTTAATTAAAACGTGCTATTATTTTAAATTTATATTGTTCATGGTATTTGTCAGTTTTTTTGTTTTTCTTTTTTATTTATTTTTGGCTGCGTTGTTTCTTCGCTGCTGCGCGCGGGCTTTCTCTAGTTGCAGAGGGGGGGCTACCCTTTGTTGCGGTGAGTGGACCTCTCATTGCAGTGGCTTCCCTTTGTTGCGGAGCACGGGCTCTAGATGCGCGGGCTTCAGTAGTTGCAGCACGTGGGCTCAGTAGTTGTGGCTCACGGGCTCTAGAGCGCAGACTCAGTAGGTGTGGCACATGGGCTTAGTTGCTCCGCGACATGTGGGATCTTCCTGGACCAGGGCTCGAACCCGTGTCCCCTGCATTGGCAGGCAGATTCTTAACCACTGCACCACCAGGGAAGTTCCTGTCCATTTTTTAAACTTTAAAAGTTGTTGGACATGGAAGCAACTTAAGTGTCCATCAACAGATGAATGGATAAAGAAGATGTGGTGTATATACAAATGGAATACTACTCAGTCATAAAAAAGAATGAAATAATGCTATTTGCAGCAACATGCATGGACCTAGAGATCATCATACTAAGTGAAGTATGTCAGAAGGAGAAGGACAAATACCGCATGGTATCACTTACGTGTGAAATCCAGAATATGACACACATGAACTTATCTCCAAAACAGAAGCAGACTCACAGACAGAGAACAGACTTGTGGTTGCTAAGGGGGAGGGAGGAAGGATGGAGTGCGAGCTTGGGATTAGCAGATGCAAACTATTACATATAGATTTGCTAAACAACAAGGTCCTACTGTATAACACAGAGAACTATATTCAATATCCTGTAATAAGCCATAATGGAAAAGAGTATGAAAAAGAATATATATATGTATGTATATACATATATATATGTGTGAATCACTTTGCTGTACAGCAGAAATTAACACAACATTGGAAATCAACTATACTTCAATAAAATACATTTTAGAAAAATAAAAATAAAAGCTTTTGAATGTAAGAGTATTTGTGCTTCCTGACACTGGAAATGTCAGCATGAAGAACTTGCTCTGAGAGAAAAATAGTATTAATAAAAGTGCTGTTTGGTCTAAAGCTCTTCACCCTAGTTAGCAAAAGGTGTGAATGGAACGGAATGGAATGGAATAAGTCTTCTGAGAAAGCAGAGCTTTTCTCTGGAGCTGTTTTGAAGGAGTAGTTGGGCAATTAGTACTTTTCTCAAAGATGCTAATCCTACTGAAACGCTCTGGGATTTGGGTTTAGAACGTCTTATTTTCAGGCTTTATAAGCAGTTCCTGTTTTCCACTGTAGCAGGTAGAAAGCTACACTGGCCTAATGGAAAGGCAGAGAGCATAATCGGAGCGTGAGTTTACATTTCACTGCCCGTGAAGCTTTGCTATTTTGTTGCTCAAGTTCTTTACCTCAACTTTAAAAAATGAAGCATTATTATACTTTGTAAAATAGTGTTTGCCGCATGGTAAGACCTATAAGAAAGTTTACCATCTGCCTCAAATATGGTAATATGCGTCTGTTATTCAGATTAATACATAGAACTAAATAGACATTTCTGTTTGTAAATAGCAGCAAATACACTGGTAGATGAAGTATGGAACCAATGAGCCAAATGTAAATTTTATTTTTCTTTCAGTACACAAAAGTGGTGTTGCTTTTCACAGTCAAACTAAGCCAGTCAAAGTACCTTTTGTTGGTTTCTTAAAAGGACTAGGGAACAAACTGATGTATCTCTTCTTTGTTTGTTTGTTTTGGCTGTGCCACCTGGCATGTGGGATCTTAGTTCCCTGACCAGGGACCAAACCCATGCCCCCTGCAGTGGAAGTGTGGAGTCCTAACCACTGGACAGCCAGGGAATTCACGACTGATGTATCTTTGAATTAAAAACTTCATGTAGGTTTTAAAAATATATATTGCTGGGATTTTTTCCTCATCCTGAATAAATATTCACTTTCAAATTTTTTTGTGTTTATAATTTCATATTTTTAAAGAGGGCCATCAAAGTGTCTATGCTTCAGGACCCAAATAACCTGGCCCTCAGGGAACTCATAGCCTGGTAGCAGCTTCAGATTAAACAAATAAATAAACAAAAAAACAACCATTAAATAAACCCCAATCTTAACAGGAACATGAGGTAGCCTGGGAAGTCAGGAAATGCTTCCCAGAGAAGAGCATTTCTGACTTGGGCTCTGAAGGATGCATAGGAGTTTCCATGCAGAAACTGTGTTAAATGCAGTAATAGTAACTTCCTGGCCCCTTGACTGGGCTCTGTGCCTGAAACATCCCTACCTTTCATGAACTCCATGTCAACCTTTTCATATTTCTACCAACCACTTCTTTTTTTTTTTTTTCTTTTTTACTTTTGGCTGTGTTGGG